GTCGGGAAAGTCGAATCTGAAGTCGGTTCTTCAATATTTTGAGTGTGAATTTTTCCGTCAAAGAAAGGGTTTTTCGAGAAAATGGCGATGTTTTGGAAAAGTTGGGGTGCGTAAATCGATGTCGGGACATCTAAATTTTTAGTATATTGTTTCTGGAAATTTGCAACTAAAATTCTCTCGACTGTAAGGAATGTCATATTCCCTCGACTGAAGGGAGGGTCATATGAAAAAAAAATATGTTTGTATGTATGTATGTGGGTGGCTGTCAGGGTCAAACGTCAAATTCAAAAAAGCATTGCCTTAAAAATTCAATGGTAAACGTTTTGAATATGTGGCTTTCCTCCAATCAGGTTTTTCAGGCTGGAAATTCACCGAATTAGAAATTGTTAATATGGGACTTTCCAGCAATCAGATTCTTTTTGGCTGAGAGTTCGGCCAATCATAGGTGGTCGATATTGGGCTTTCGACTAATCAGATTCTTTCAGGCTGAAGTTTCAACCAATCATAGATTTTTGCGATATCGAGCTTTCCACCAATCAGATTTCTTCAGCTTGGAAATGGAGCCAATCAGGGGTTTTCGATATCGGGCTTTCAACCGATCAGATTATGCCTGTTTGAAATTTCAGCTATTGAAACGTTTTCCAAAACATAGCTTTCGTCCAATCAGGTTGTGAGAATCTGGGCTTGAAGCCGATCAGTATTTTGTAGGTGCATTCCTCGTTCAATCAAATTTTGAGGAACTCATAGTTTTCAATAAACATTATTTATAGAAGACAACGAGGATTTCACAGTGACGTTTCGTTAACGTGGATATAATGCACCCTGTTTATAGATATATGCGTCTTTGTCTGCTTATTTTGAGTTTCCTGTAGGTGGTCCTTCTATTGTCAATTCTGTAATTGTTTTGAGTTAGGAAAACATTAATAAGTTTGGTTGTGGATACAAGAGAATGAACCAATGTAGAAGTAGACTTAAGCATGGGTACGGCTAGTCGTGAGTGGTGCTTCGGAGGGGCGCCAACAAACGACTGGCCGCTCATTTTCGAGGTCAATTGCAGCTATGCTTGGGAATAGATCGGTATTAAATCTAAAATGTCTTTTGGGAACACTTCATCTAGTTTCCGTTAACGAAGAATTCCAATCTAACGCAGTTTTTATAGCAAGATAGAGAAAAAACAAAAGTATTAAATATAGTTCACAATAAAATCTGCTCTTATCGGAAATTTCTGTCGAGATTTCTTCTAATTTTTTACGACAAATATACCTATTGCCTGATGCTTCGCCTCTCCATCGTTCCGATGAACATAATCCATCACGTTCGATTTTCTATGTTTTTATCTATTAGAAAGGAAATGGTAGAAGCCTCTACATTGCGACTTTAGTTTATCTCACACTTTTCTTCGAAAATGCATCTGAGCTCTACAAAGAGGTTTTCAAATGAGAAGTTGCACTTAAACATGGAAGCGACTAGCCGTGAATGGTGCTCCAGAGGAGCTTTGACGAAAGACTAGTCGATGATTCTAAAAGTTCATCAATGATATTCTTAGTGAAAGCCCGTAAGAAGCCTACCGCGCTTTTCGAGAGAATTCTGGCAAGATTCCATTAATGAGAAATTCTCATATAACGTCTATTTCCTAGAATGGTCATGAAATTACACCTATGAACAGTGATTTCCAACAAAATCTCATTTGTTGGAAATATTCTTAGAACATTATTCTATGGTAAATTGAAGAAGATTTCGGAAGAAGTCAAAAGTGTAGCCATTCAATAGTAAATGAATGAGTATTATCAATAGAGAAATTACACTTAAGTATGGCAGCGGCTAGCCGTGAGTGGCGCCACGTAGGGGCACCGACGAACGACTAGCCTCTGCTTGGAAAGCTTCAGAAAAAGTACGCTTCTGGCAGACCCAAAATCCGTAGAGCAGTTACGAAACAATCGAGTTTAACCGGTTGAAATAGTGTCCTCAATCAGCAAAAAAAGAAAAGCAATTTTCTTTCAAATTAATTGTACGAAAGAATTTTTCTGAACATGTATAATATTCTTAACGTACGTTCGGCGAAAAGCGTCACTTAACAAATTCTCCCTGTAATAACATTCGTGTAGAAAGAAGCAGATGTCTTGTGGCTGAATCTCAAAAGATAATAATTGCGAAAGTTGGATTGTGGATAACTGGTATGCAGAAGTAAAATGGTTTTCCTTTATGCTTATTGTAAGAAGGAACATTAAACAACAAATAAAAAGGTTAACATTTCTTCGGATTTCCCTATGCTACGACAAATATTGAACCTCTTGAAACACACCAGAAAACATTTAGTTTTAGGATGTTGTATGATCCTCTCTACTTTTTTATTCTTTATGAGTCTAGAATCCACCACAGCTATTCATCACCAGATCTAAATTTGAACCATGTAAAAGTTTTGTTCCAAACTCGCGCTGGAAAGTATTACACTCTATGAAGTTAGGTGATACGCATAGGACTTAATTCGATAGGCACAATCTGTGTCATTAAGAGAACAAAACACTTTGGAAGTCATGCTTAGCTCAATCTGCAAAAAACGATTGAGGCTGTAAAACTATTGAAGGTGTTTGAATTCTAATGAGGAATAATCTGAGCGCTAATACGTTCCAATTTATTTCGTTTCTATCTTTCACTTGTGTAGAAGAACCGATCTCTAGACATTGTGGATTACTCAATCGTATATGTGTTTGTCAAGGATAATCAGAATAAATATAATGAATCCAGTCGAGAGTCGAGTGAGTCGTACCGACGAACGTTACTTGTAGTATATATGTCAAAGGTTGATCTGGTATCATCCTCATTGTTTGTCGAAGAGATTAGTCCAAAAAAGTGATAGAAAAGTTCAGTTTTCAATAAACATCGAGAAAAACGCGTTTTATGGACAACAGGGTGGAAAGCAATTATTTGGAAATTTAATTAATTTTAATTATTATTTTGATTAGAAATCTGATTAAAACAGTGCCATTATAATCGACTTTTAATCCCAAAAGAATCAATAAAAATCCGGCTTTATTTAATTTTTTTTTACATGGGTGGGACCATATGTATTTCTGGTTGTTGTCTCGATCCCGCACATCTCTTGTGGTGACAGTTGTATTTTGAAGTCTCATTAGTAAATTAAGCAATACCTTAGTAAGGTCTGCGAGAAGTTTCTGAAGCACTTTCATGATAGAAAAAAAATGAGTACTATTGCTTTTTATTTTGATCATCTTGTAATTCGTTCAATAATCTATGGAAAATTTAGACTGATTCGTAGCATAACCTCCTTTGTTCTAAAATGTTTGTCAAGCCCATGAAAATACCAATGCAACTAAATGATACCTGCCAGAATAATGATACTGTTACGACATTGTTCAATGCTGTTTTAAAATAAAAAGAACATGAAAATGTTTTGCACATAAATCCTACGCATAGTACTCAAGTATGCTAACCCGACAGTTCATGTGAATCATATTATTGGTTGTGCGTGTGGAGTATGGCTGTGGTTGTGGGTGTGGGGCGTCGGTGTGAGAGTGGGGATGTGCGTATGGTACTTGTCTTCACTGACATTCACACCCACACCCTAAGAAGTCGAAGGAAAACGCTTTCTCCATCAATTCGATGCGAGCAAAATTTTGTAAAGTATCTTTCTGCAAGGCTTGATGTGTATAACGGGAACGAATGACGTTTGCAACTAGTTTTTTTTAAGAAGATTGTCCAAGGGAACCTCATAGTCGTATTCGAATATCTGCTTCTGAGCTCCAATAGACAGAGTACACCTGAAAACACAGAAAACTTGCATTGGAGCAGGGTTTCATATTCTTTTTGCTAGAAAAAATGAAATCACTAATTTTATTTAAAAAAAAGCTGGTAAGTGTAGCCCCTTTGAGGCTGAAATATAGAACTCACATAAATTTTTTAGCCTCATTAAACTAATACAAAATAAGGAAATGGAAAAATTTCTACTAATTAGGCTATAGTTGTTTCTCAGGACAATCGATCGTCGCAATAAGAATCTCCCTGATTTATTTCTGAACTTGAAAAATATTTTTTTTCTTTTCTTTTTGGACGTGGGTTGGTAAAGTCTGTAATGGGGGCCTGTGTGTAACGGAGTGATGTCTGAAATGGAGTGAGAGGGGGGTGGGGAGGAGGAGGGGAGAGAGAGCTGGAAAACTTCGACTTAAAACTTACCCTAACTATTTTCTTCGAAAACATATGTGAGTTCCATAACCTGAATTTGAAAGTGGGCCATCTTGGAGAATTGAAATGCTGACTGGATATAGTTTCATAGTTATTCGTTGAAAAAGTTCGTTTCACAAGGTTTTGTAGAGAATTTCATGGACTATCTTTTGAAAAACAATCAAGCATATAATTACGTCATAGTTTGAGAGAGGCATCCGTAAAATACTGAAAGGAACATTTATCATGGCGCACCCATTATTTATCGTCATGACACTCAAAACCGAATTTCCTCCTGCTTCTCTCTATTTTAGGCGCGCTCTCTCTCTCTCTTTTGCTTTCAATATCCGATAAAAAAATGCATGCTAGAAAACAAAAAGGATCGCCAATCATTATTATTAGATAAATGTACGAGCAAAGCAGCAGAGAAGTAGTCAACGTGACCATTATCTATCGAATATATTTATGGTGCAGCTACAGTGATGCTCATCCGATGCGTAGTCTTATTCAATAAAAAGAAACATTGCGGGAAAAAGGTTCCGTGTGAGCGTGCATGTTTCTCTTCTCATCAATCACACCCACACCCACATACTGCTCAAACAAATATTTGTATGATTATTCTTGCATAGAAATTTCTCTTGTGTCATACGACTGATCATTTGGAAAAAATGATTTTTATTTTGAAATATAACCTCTCCATTGAATCTCTTTTATTTTTGAATAATCCAGAAAGGCAAAAAAAGTGTATGCGAGTTGTGGATGCTTTGACTAATACCAAAATAAAAATTAAAAAAACAAATGTTCTTAAACTGACAGTATAATCATTCTTTAAGTTCAGTTTTTGTTTGTTCCTTATTTGTTATTGATGCAGATCGTTCATCTTTCCAAACATAAGTACCTCGAAAAATATAACCATGTTTAGCTGCTGCTTCGAATGCTTGGCATATACCAGAACTACCAAATGTGTATGGAATGATTGGTATTTGTTTCTTGTCAATTTCATTAAGTATTGGATCGACAATACGCCATGCTTCTTGTAATTCATCTGAACGTACAAAATTTATTTTTGAACCCATAAATACATCAAGAATTAAACGCTCATATGCATCAGGTAATTTAACACCTTGATAACGTTCACCGTATGTTAAATCTAATTCAGTTTCTTCAATGCTAAAACCCATTTCGCCGGGTCGTTTTGTATTTATTTTAAGATAAATCGCTTCATTCGGTTGAATACGTATTACAAGTTCATCACGAGCTAATTGACCATTTCGATCATTTTGACGAATGTCTTCATCAAACATTCCACCAGGAGCATCACGCAATTGAATACGTACTTCAGCTTTTTTCTTATTCAATGCTTTACCTTGAGAAAAATTTAACAAAAAATAAAAATCTTTCTGTGTTATGAATAGTAAAACCTGCACGAAGAATAAATGGTACACCAGCCCAACGTTCATTATTTATTGAAAGAACAACTTGTGCAAATGTCGGTGTTGTTGAATCTTTTGGAACACCTTTATCATCTAAATAGCCTTGTTGACGTTCAGGATCTGTTGAATCTTTATCACCAAAATATTGTCCAATGACAACATCTTCGATTTTAATTGGCAATACAGAACGTAATACTTTTACTTTCTCATCACGAATATCTTCCCCTTTCGTGGAACGTGGTTTTTCCATGGCAACAATTGATAAAATTTGCATTAAATGATTTTGTATTACGTCTCTTTACATAAATACAACAAATTAATTCAATGTAAATTTTTCGATAGGAAATTCGTAAAATCTCATAGTTCCACAGAGGCGAGGGAACATTCAAGTTGTTCGTTTGCTTTTAATATGAGTCTTAGTCCATCTTAATAGACTATAAAAAGAGTTCGTGCTCATGGCTTATTTATGGAAAGATCGAACGTTATTAGTGAATTTCGACCTGAAACTATACAAACATAAAAGCGTCCAAAAATACATGGTGCATATGTTCCTTATGGAAAAGAACCTTTACCTCAAAAGTTTTGTATCCCGGAAAGACTTGGTTTGAAAATTCTGAAATTTTTATGCAAGCTAATCTAATTGATGTTTTTATTTGAGCAAATCATCAGATCGAAATTCACGAAAAAAAGTTCGATCTTCTTAGAAATAAGCCGTGAGCACATATCTGGGAGTGTTACGTCGTGAAGTTCTTAAGGAAAAATGTGAAAAAGAAGAATAGAGATATCTCTTCGACGTTGAAATTCATAACAAGATTAGGGTTGGATACTAAACGAATAAGATCTAGCAGCCGTGAAAACTGCACTTGATTAAAAGACGATTTACGAGAGTACCGAGGAACCAAGACACTAATCAAAATTGTAATCTTTGATTTTTTTATGCGCATTTGGATGTTCTATAGTAAAGTTAGCGTAGAGCGACTCCTTAGCAGTATCTAATTACTATCCCAAAAATAGTGATAAATTATCTCCTAAATGTCTGCTAGAATCATGATTCAACAAGTCAGAGTATTTTTTCATAGGGTTAGATAGTTTCACATATGTGGAGTAGATAATAATTTATGAATTTATAACGATATACTCTTCGCAGTATATCAACTGACTTTTTTTAAAAGTCAACATAAAATCGAATAGATGCTAGAGAAATGTTTTTCCTATGAGCAAAATAATCATATGTGGTCCTCCAGGAGTTTGTTTTTCCCAGGAAAAAAGCCGCTAAAAATGTTTTCCCTTTTCAAAACTATTCAATGTAAACTTCCTCTGAAAGCATCGAATTAGACTTCATGTTCAGCATTTCCTGTTTATTCATTTTACTAAAAATTTCTTCATACCGAATAATTCCAAATTCATCAAAATAACCACCTCTTCCCTGTGTTCCAATATCTTCTTTAAAAATAATGTTAACTGATGCAATCGAATCTCTATTCCAAATTCTTGATAAAATTTGATTCGCAAATCTAAGTACAATGATATTTTGTACCATTTCTTTACCCAAATAATGATCAATACGATAAATTTCTTCTTCAGTAAAAAAATTACTCAAATGTGAAGATAATTTATTTGAACTTTCAAGATCTTTACCAAATGGTTTTTCAACAACTAAACGTAACCAACCAGGCCTGAAAAATAAATAAACAATTAACAACAAATGAAAATATATAAAATTTCATCATACGATTTTGGTCGACAATGTTTACTAATCAATTCTGTAACACTTTCATAAACACTTGGTGGTAATGCTAAATAAAAAAGTCGATGTGCACTTTCTTGTTTTGATAATTTATTAGCTTCAGTATTTAATTTTTCCAAATCTTTTCCATTATCATATGAACCAGCAACATAGGAATTTATTTCAACAAATTTTTCATATATTTCACGTTCATCTTCTTGAACCTAGTTTTTTATTTATAATCTTTAATTATTGAAAATTCTTTATTACTTTCATATATTTCGCAGCATTTTCAAAGATTTTTTCAATTGTAATTTGGCTACGAGCATAACCAATAAAACGAATATATTCTGGTAAAAATCCATCACGATAAAGCCACCTAAACAATTAATAAATCAAACAAATTCTTAAACTTTTTTTTTCTACTTCTACAAACCAAAGTGTTGGATAAATCTTCTTTTTAGCTAAATCACCCTACAATAATGAAAGCAAAGAAAGAATTTAATACGGTTTTAATTGATCTCACGTACGGATGCACCAAAAACAAAGAATATATGTGAAGTTGATTCTGCAGCTGATCCAATAAGACAAATTTGAGAACGTAAACGTTCATAAATACAGTCAGGCGTTTGCTTAACAGTATGACTGGTTAAATCTTTTGGATTTGCTTGTTTTTTATCCATTGAAATATATTTGTAATCGTTTGCAATAAGCATAAAATATAGAAGGAAGAAAGCAACTTTTATAAGTGGTATGTCTCGATAGAGCACTTTAAACGACACAATATAAATAGTCACTATTTGGCATTGACAACGTGACATATCAGAAAAAAAATTAAAGAACGAAGAAAAAGAAACCGAAAAAAATGTCGCACCAGATTATTTGCCACATCTCAATCACGGGTAATAATAATTGACCGAATTTCAGACTGCAAACCGAAACGATCAAAAAAGTTGATTGGTTGTGTCTCGATCCTTCATTATCCAGTAAGTGTTCATCCATGTTTTATCATTATCATTCCAAAACACAGAAAATGAATTTTGTAACTGAATTAAGGATACCATTCCTTGTTTTGTCTTTGTTTGACTGTGTCTGATTCTTGAAGGGAGTAAAACCGATCCGTCTGAAACGTTTACCACAGTTAGAGCACCTAAAATAAGCAGACATGTGTCGGAGTAAAAAAGTTTTAAAGAGAGTTTCTGTGGTTTCTTTAGGGAAACTCTAGTTTTTCATAGGTCTCCATCAGTTTCCATTACAACCCCCATAAAAGTTTATCCGATTCAGCTGAAATTTAGAATGGATGGAAAAAGGAAGAAAGGAAAAATATCGAAAGGAAAAATATCGAAAGGAAAAATATCGAAGAAAAATATCGAAAATAAAATATCGAATGGAAAAAAATCGAAAGCGAAAATGTCGAATAGAAAATATCGAAAGGGAAAAATATCGAAAGTTAAAACATCTGAATAAGAAATAATGTTTATGAAATTTTTTCAAAATTGCACAAAGTGAATGAAATGTAAATATAAATTATAACAAACATTCAGTGAGCATGTCACTTTACAGAGTATAATGATTGGTCATTTTCTCTTTAATTTAATATTTCTAGCGACGACAAAGGATAAACCTTCTAAAAGTTCATTTCGGGTAACNATACAATACACGATAAAGCATTCGTAGATTGATCTGTTAATCTTTAACGAATAATCATTCATAGTTATTAGATGTTTCTCAAGGACTAATTTGAATATTTATCATTCTATCTTACAGCAAGACGTGCCATCCGTTTTCCATCTGTTATTATGAGTATAATAGTTGTGTAGTAATTGCTCACGAAGAAATCATATAGATAGGGTTCTTAAGTAATCAATTTAGTATATCGGATTACTTTATAAACATCTTAAATCTCCAAGTAAAATCTATCATATTTTATTACTATTTCATTTGCTAAAAAACAAAAATAAAGATGGATAATTTCCTATTTCTAATAAATATCGAACGACTTATTCATTATTGATGTGAAGTAATATTAATAGCAAATTATTATTAAAAACAAATTATAAAAATTTTGTTCACAATAATCGATATTTCGAGGTAAAAATAGTTGAAAGGAGTAAACGCTAAGAAAAATAGTCAGAGATTATTTCAGATTAGATTCATACAAATTGAAGACATCTGAAAAAGTTATTAGTTGTATGAATAGATCATCGCTATATATTCATTGAATAAGAAACATGAGTAATTTTTATCAGAATTACCTTACCATTTTATTTCAAGAAAGATCTTACAATTACTAATGTTTCGGCAATATCTGTGCAGTTAGTTATGTAAGTATAGTACATATCAATTTATCTTTATGAGAGCAATTCTCTATAGACAAAACTGAATGACAATTAATAGAAAAATGACAAATGTTTCTCATTATTTTGCATCGAACAAAGTAAAATAAATTAGGTCGGATGGATTATTTTAAATATGGATAATCAAATATTCTCTATATCTATCAACTAATTGAGAAGCTCCATTGATAAATGAATATTATATTCATTTGGGTCATCTCTAGTGTAACATAAAGATATTTATCATATTTATGCTTGACATTTGCCATATTGTTTCTTATTTTCTGTTTCTTATCAGAGATAATGTCCTAGTATTATTTATTTTCGAGCAAAGCCTATGCAAATATCAGTCCTTGAAATGTCTAATTTTTGATCATATCTAAGACATAGTTAAATACTTACTGTTTATGCCTATATCGTCATAAAACTTATAATTATCGACTATTTTTACTTGTCTAACGAATAATTCATTTAGAATATGCTATGTAATTGCTGAGTTTTCCCTCAAGTAATAAAAAAAAACGAAGCAGAAAAAAATAACAGTATAAATAATTTAATTATCCATTTTAATATAATTTTAGCACTTATAAAATGTTCATTGTTTTAATGTAATATTTCACCATAAAATACAAAACATAAACTTGTTATTAGATAACAATAATTGATAAAAATTTAAATGTAATATCATTCATTCAGTTCATTATAAAAAATTTTATTTCTCTTTTCTTTCATAAATAAATATGACAAAATTACTGACGTTCAACATACATAAAAAAAAAAGAAATAAAACATTTCATTTCTCACCGATATACTAATCTTCTGTGTTTCCTTTTACAAAAATATGGTTATCATTCGTAATATTACATATTCAACTGGCATGAAAAGAGAAAGAGGTATTCATATAAACACACACGAAGACATACTGTTCATCTCGAAATAAAAATAATTCTCAGCAAGAAAAAGAAAAGAAAAGGATACTTATGCGTATTGATAATTGACGAGGATACTATCTAGCTTGGCAGCAAAACTCGTCAGTATAGAAAAAAAGAAAAAGAAAGGATAAGCAACTTTGCCAATATGAAAGAGAAGTGTAAAGGGCTTCACACAGTGCAAGAGAAAAAGAAAGATAGAGCGCAATATATATATTTTTTAACTCAAATCGAGTTTAAATATACAATGATACGTTTGTGGTTCATTTTCACTTGTACCAATCGAAGATAATTGTAATGCATTAACAAATTGTTTACCAAAATACATATCATTCGTTTCATTTTGATATATTGATGAAAATTTTCTTTTACTTTTAAACATAATTATATGTGGAATAAATTCTTGATAATTTCCAGCAAAAAATATATCATTCACTTTTTGTTTTTGTTGTTGTTCATAGAGACGCTCAATAATTAATGTACGTAGGTTGTCTAACCGATTATTTTGTTGACATTTAATAAATAATGTTTTACTATAAAATGTATCAATACCATGAAATTCTAAACATATACGTTCCGGATATGAACAATGATAATGAATTTCTTCTTGAATACGTTTTAACGCTAAAATACATTGTTCAATTTGTAATGATGATTCAAGACGTAATGTCAATAGTGTTAAATGAAGATGATGAGGATCAATTGATAGAATATGTGAAGATGAAGACGAAAAAAGTGAAGGATATGTAGAAAGTAAATGTTCTCGATATGCAATATAATTAGAGATAAGCGATGAATCATTGATTGGTATTGATATTTTATAGTTTGGTTTATGTAAACCATCAGTTAATGTTAAGTAACGTTTTGTTGGTAAGTGATGATCGACATCAGTAATTTTTTCATCTTGAGAAGTTCTGATATTAAAACAAAAAGGTAAGACGACTATAGAATGTTGTTTGAAATCACTAGATGACTTACTTTGTTTCAATAAGATTTTCATGTCGTTTAATAACATCATCAATTGTTTGTTGACTACCAGTTGAACCAAATATTAAATCAATACGTGATTTTTTATCCCAAATAATTTCATTAGCATATTTAAAATATTGTATACGATGTTTAGGTATAGCAAGTATATTTGTATGTCGATCACTTATTGTTGATAAATCAGTTTTAAAATCAAAATCATTAAATGGTCGTTCTTGTAAACCAAGAAAATGATCTATATAGCCAACACGAATAAAACGTTTATCAAGACGACTATCCCATTCAATATGTGATAAAACATCATCAGCTGTTTTCATAGAAGATTTTTTAATTTCTTCATGATTATGTTCATCAATATGAGATATTTTATTATGATTATTAATAGATGCCATTGGTGAAACAAGTTTACCATTTGTTGGTGAACGTGGAATAGGCGTATTGTTACTTATATTATTTGTATTAACAGTTAATGTTTGAATATTATTTTCATCAAACCATTTAAGTAGACGTAAATATATAAGTAAAATCATTGGTTGATTAAGTAATGTTTCGCTATAAGATTGAAGAAGTTTTTGAACAAGTAAAATTTGATCAGGTGTAAGGCGAGGCGCTGTTATTATTATTTCAGGTAGTTTATTAGGATAAGATTCTGTTATGATTATTATTAATGAAAAAGAAAAAATTAATTAGGAATTAAAATGTACCTAATTCAATATTTACCATTTAATTGTAATGTTAATGAAACATCGTATTGATCAGCTCGTATTTTTAATATATGAGAAAATTGTCCAATAGATGATAGAATACGAATATCATCTTTAAAATGATCACGAAGCAAATTTATTTCTTCTTCTTGTCCAACACTATTTGATTTATTTTCAATCGTAGTGGCCATACACTTTTAATATTCTAAAGTTAAATATTGAATGCCTTACAAATGAAATAATTAAGCCTCGTTGTTCTTCTTTTTATCACAAATGTGTACTCACCTGGTGTACGCAAAAGAATACAACGAATAGATGGATTACATCGGCGATTTTTATGTAGTATCGTGTAACGTATGTTACTCACTCACACGCTGACCTTTAAAGCCAGCCTGCCTGGATGAATGAATCAATACGAGAGAACTAGCAATAGATTACCATATCATCATCATTCATAATAAATAAATACGATTGGTTTTAGTTTTTCAACCAATCATATGTTTATCTATTGGTCTAATATTATTTGTAGTAATTTTTTACTCGAGTAAATATAATATACGCAAAATAGCAGCTTTCATATGAATAAAATTATCATCAATAACCAATAGAAAATGAGATTGTAACCTTTATGATGATGTACTTTATTTTCTAAACAATGTGCTTGAATGTGTTAAAATCTGCATATTCATCATGGTGGTGGAGAATAGAGTCATAGATTTCTTGAACA